CACCGTTTATAATGAGACAACGCGGAAAATAAGGGATGGTGAGGGTTTGGTGCCACGCGATTTGCATCAGTGGACATGTTAATTAGCTGGGTACGTCAGGGTTGACAATAGCTAAACAACTTTTTCCTCTTTCATTAGTTTTCAAAAATGTTTTGGAAGGAAACAAAAAAAGGAAAATGTACAATAAAAGCTGAAAGACAATAGAAAAAGAAGGGCTACTTGAAAAAAGGGAATCCCAAAGTTTCTTTGCAAAAGTTTCAATTGTTTGGAAGCCAGACAAAAAAATGTGGAGGAGTAGTTGCACGTTAAGTTACCAGGGTATGAGATCAGCTAGGTATTTTTAGAAGTGAAAAAAAACCCAGGCAATGATGTCAGGAACGCTGAACTTAGTTTTTGGAATTTAGAAAAAAAAATGAATTCGATTTGTATGCTAAAAGTGAAAGAACCTTCAAAAGGAAATATTATATGTAAAATCTGAAAAATTTCAAGTTCCGGGTGGACTATACCATTCAAAAATTGAAATCATAATCTTGAGTCAAATAATTGTAGGCACACTTTATACGGTTACATAAATGCATGATTATTTTTAGATTCATCGATTCTTTGCCCTATTTCTTTCCTGGTTCCGCTCCTTTTCAGATTCTCTTGAAAAGAGAATTAAGTGGATTGTGAAAAAAAAAAAAGATTCTACTCATGTTGACGAGGTTGAGTTTGGCTGAAAGCATATAGAAAATTGAATGAGGTCTTTCACAAAACAACACTGAAAAACTTTCAAGATATCTGGGAACCCAAAGAAGCTGAATAATAAAGAACGACCCAAGAAAAAAAAAGAGTACGTCTTCCCCGATTTCCAGGAGAACTTTAGGGCGTGTCCCACCCCCCCCCCCCCCTCTATTTAGCCCTAGTTGCCGGTTTAGAACAAAACAAATTATAAATTCGGACATTTAGTTTAGTGGAAGGCGTGCGCGCGGACAGACAGAAGGCCGACGCTCACTCAATTGGTTTGGAAAGAAGGGGTATTAGAGACTGGCGGACTGAACGAAAAGATTCGTTTTCCATTCATGTGTCAATTTGAGGAGCCCTATGACTGCAAGCAGTGGGTGAGATGACGAATAAGGAAATAGTCGTGAAGATTCGCCTTTTAATTAATCCACTAAACCAGATTTTAGTTGAGTATGGTGGGAATGGCTCGGTCATTTTATACATAAATCGGTTGGTGGTCAGAATATTAGAGTTCTTGGGATCGATTCTGAGTATATCTCTCCATGGTTACGGTAAAGAAAGTTCATTTTGATGATTTGGTTATCTGACACCAAAAAGCGTACAGTAACGGTCAATAAGGTCTACAAAAAACTATTTTTACATTGGTGTTCGGCATTATCAGATGTCTGGAGCTGGGCTGTCAAGCTTGTGATCATTTTGAAAACTTTGGAAGGTGTAAAACAGATCTAGATTGAAAATTTTGCACTCACAGGACTTTTTGAAACTTCATATTTTTTCAGCTATTCGACAATTTTCGTAAAACACATTTTTTTGGTCCGTTTCATGCTAAAAATTTGGAAAAAAAAACAAATGTCCTTCAGAAAACTGCGAATAGCTGAAAAACTAGGAATTTGCAAAATATTCAACGAACGTAAAGTGTTCAATCTAGGTTTTCTTTAAACCTTCCAAAATTTTCAGCGTGATGGGAAACTTGACATTCTCTGAACTCCTGAAAATCACGAAAATCGACTGAAAATTACATTTATTTATTTATTATAGGCCGGTGCTATAGGTGAGCCTTTAAGATTTTCAAATCAAAACATTCTCAAGAACACACATTCAGATCCAAAACGCTTATTTCTGACAAAATATGGTACTTTTATACCCATTTCAGAAGCTTCTAGCAATTTCAGCTACCAAATTCAAAATATAGCAATAAAAATGCAGAACATCAAAAATTTTCGAGATCAACAATGTGCCATGCTGTTTTTCAGAACCATTTCAACGATGCGGTCGCTTCAAAAAATGACAAAAAGAAGCCAGAAACCCATCATACGTAACAGAATGAAATGAACCCAAAAAGAGGAATTGAAAGGACCAAACACACAAAAAATAATGATGTCTATGGACAAAGAACGAGGACTTGGAGTGGGGGACCTGGTTTAATTGAATGAAGCGGCGGAAGGCACGAGGCAGGACACAAAAAACGACATAAATAGAAGAGATTGATGAACTGGATCGAGAAAGTGAGTGACTAGAAAAAAGAAGACTGGAAAAAAAGTTAGTGACTTCGATGGAGGCTAGAAGATTCCCTACATTGAACTATAAATATTTTTCTTTGGCTTGTTAGGAATCTTAACAAGCTGTTCATGAAGTCGAAGAACTAAAAAATATTCTATGAAGCGTCATAATACGATGAGGTCATTCTGAAAAAAATATCAAAGCAATAAGAAAAGCATATACACTCTGAATAGAAAAAAATGAGGGGAAATGTGAGAATAGGAAGTTGAGAGAAGAGTTGAACAAGAAAAAGAAGAAGCAAACGAAGAAAAAAAAAGAAAAGAGTTGCACATATAACACGATTTTTGATTTGCATATACATTCCCGGGTTGACGCCTTTTCTTTAGGCACCCCAAGAGAACATTATGTTGCTCTTCGGGGGTCCCCGGCTGTTGCTCTTTTTCATATGCGCATGAGCACCAAACAGCTTGTCGCTTCTTAATCAGTGTCAATTGTTCCGGTCTTCCCGGCTTAACCCGGCCTATTCAAAGAAGGAGGTTATTGCTTATATGGGTTATAAATTTTGGGCGGGAGACAATTTATTAGAATAACTGGAGAAATGAGAAATGGCAAGCTGGGTGGATTTAAGGAGAAAATAACGAAACATTTTCTGATCGAAGACTTCAGAAATCATCGTCATCATATCTGATTTCAAATCATCCAAAAATGGTGCGAAAAGTAGACTAAAAGCCCTGATTTTAAATAAATTTGAAGAATTGGAAATTGAAAAAAATTCCGAATTTATGAAATTCTGAGATTCCAGTATCTCAAAATTCAAAATTCAGGAATTCCGGAAAAAAATCTGAAAATTTTAAAAATCTGAAATTCTGAAATTTAACAATTCGAAAATTCAGAAATTGAGAAATTAATGAGTCTAAAATCACATTTCCAAAAATTCTGGAGTTCTGAATTTCCGGGTTTTCTCTAATAGAAGCCCATGGGCTTCTATTAGAGGTGGGCTTCAAATACAGGTGGGCTGCTATTAGAGCAAATACGGTGACTAGTTTGACAAGTTGAGTTTGCTCATTTCTCTGATGCCTCAACTTTCACTATTTCCGAGCACCAGAAGAACATCTGCCATATACATCTAAAAAATTCAAAGGAACAGCTTGAAAAAAAACAATTTCGCTCAAATATCACGCACCTGTCAAATCTACTCTTTTTTGAAAAAAACTCACAGAGCAAATGCTAACCAAAAAAATTTTTTTGAAAAAAAATTATATGAATACGAAAAATTAGGAGCTATAGGACTTTATTTTCGTAGAATGCAAAGTGGAACGGATGAAAAATCGGATTAAATCTGAATTAAGTAGCATTGACAAGCAGAGCAAAAAGAAAAAAAACGGATTGTCACGAGATAGCAAAAAAACTAACTTCCGATTTGATTTCTATGGTGGAGAAATGACGAAAAAGAACAAAATTAAAGTTTTAGGTTCAAAAGCCAAATACCATCCGTTGTAGTATTATGTTTATGGGTTGGCATAAAGAGGTCATTATCACATTATAACTGATATTGTTGTGACCAGTCGCCGACGTTTTGATATCAGTGTGTTGAATTATGCGAGACCCTTCGTTTCCCCACCCGTTCTCTTAATTGATAGTTGTGCGGGAAATAGAGAGAAATGAGTGATTGATTATAGAACGTCGTCTGAGGGACGAGGAAAAATATGTATTTTCCCAGGAAGATAAGAACAAAATGAGAGACGGGCCGTGGGGTTATTTATTATTTGGGTTCCGAGTATTACGTGACCAAGATTAAGAATACAAAGCAAAAGTGTATGTGACTACTCCCTCTCAGAATGGACTAGAAGAGCCTCGTGAGAAAAAATAAATCTCGAAAAATGAAGTCAGAACACAAGCTGACCAGAGAGGATGACCACATTTCTATACGTACCGTAAGGTATAATGAAAGTCGGTAATGTAATTTGAAACTAGCCACAGAGAGGAAGTCAAAAGACGGTAAACAGCAAATAGTGGAACATGAAATTAGAAATCAGAAAATTTGCGTTGAGTTGAAATTCGGAGAAAACTGAAGAAGAAGCAGCACGGTTCGATTCATGTGTTTAAATAATATAAAATGATCTAATATCATATACAAACGGATGGAAGCAGCTAGTTGCATGATGAGTGGGGGGAAGTCTCTTCCTCGGAGTTTTGCGGTATCATTTGACCCCGCACAAAACAAAACAAACACTGAATTGGGCAGGCAAGCCACGGGCACCACCAGCCGGTGTTGAGGGCAAAAGAGATAGGATAGTCTGCTCTCAGGAAAAGAAACTTTTTTTTTTCAAATGTTTGAATAGTTTAAAATGGATGAAAAAGTTAACGAGCTTGACTTCCGTAGCGTTTTTTCTCTTCTTTTTTTTCTAGAAAAAAACTGAAGAAGGAAGCTTTTCGGAATTCAAAACGTTTTTTTGAAATATCCAGACAAATTTGATTTGTCTCACATTTCAAAAACAGAGCAAGTCTGAAAAGGGAATAAAACATGTGTCAGAAGTTGTCTAAAAACAAGAATTTCAGATATATATTTTGTTATCTATTTGACAGTTAGAATTTTTCAGACGTCATCTGAATGTGATGGGACAATTTTTCATGTCGAGAATCATCCATCGGGAAAGAAAAAATTTTGAGCTCATGACAGAGACGTTTCCGGTATAAGCAGCGTGATATGGAAGAATCAGGGAACATATTTTATGTTTTCAGTTGAAAGCTGGAAATGAACTTTAGCTATTCTTCAAATGACAACTTGGCTGTCGGCTTGCAACTTCTGGACGGAAGTTGAGGGGGGTTCGGCTTATGAACGAAAAAAAAAAAAAATCTTAGTCAGATTTTGGCCGGAATTTGAAGGCGCTGCGTGGTAAGCGTCGCGTGTTTCCCTCATTTGAAATGTGTTTTCTGAACTATTTTTCTTACCGTTTTCCCTAAAAACTTTGTTTCATAATTGCATCGACCAATTTTTGAAGTATTTTTTTTCAGACAAGTACTTCGGAGACAAAAACAGACGATTCTCGAAAAAAGAGTACGAAACTCATCGGGTAATTTTTTCTTTTAAGTTTTGTCATTTAATTTAGATTTTTTCAGAAGAATGAAATTCAAGCCAAATTCTCAACGCCAAGTGCTTGGGGGATATTGCATCTAACAGGTAGTTTTTTGTTGAAAAAAAAAAACTGAATTTTCGAATGCTTCGTTTCCAGAAATCAAAAAAAAAACAACTGGATGCTAAAAAATGCGAAAAAAAAACAAGAAAGTTAATAAGGTAAATTTCTATTTTCTGAATTAATATCTAATTTTATTCACATTTCAGGCAGAACCTCTTCTCTCGTAATCGTCACGATTCACAGCGACATCTTCAAAATTTTTAAATCTGATTCTCGATTTTCTCACTTTTCTGTACTTTTTCCTGATTTTATTCATTTTAATGTATAATTGTTTTTTTTAATAAAATACTATATAATGTGCTGTTTTGCTATAAAAATAACAATAGGTGCGAACCCAACCGGCCCCTGCTGTTAAGAGGTCGGAAGTTGGCCGGTAGTTTGTCGGATCTTGGTCGGCTTCCCACAATGTCTTTGCCGGAATTTGACCAAGCACCGGCCAGAAGTTGCCGGCGACGCCTGAGAATCTAGCTAAAAACTTGAGAGTACTTGGCATACAGTAGCCTAAAAAAACGGAATCATATTTTGACTTTTTCGGTGAAAAATATTGTTTTTCTATACCAGCGAGAATATGGGAAGCACATTTGAAATTCTGAAAAAATGTACCAAAGTTTTTAGTTCGTCTGAACATTTCAGAGTATACTGAAAAAGATTTTGCTGAGTTCCTTTCTGTTGAGATACTCTTTGCAACCATATAAGTGCCGAAAATAGAAAATGAGCACTTAAATTAGAGTTGTATTCAAAGTTTACAATCTTACACTAAAAAAAAGTCAGAGGATAAAATAAGTCAGAGGATAAAAATGGGAGGGGGCTCGATTTGCGCAACCGTCCGACCGGTTTCAAAAGTCTTAGGTCTCAAATGATCAGGTCTTCAGTTCTTACTTCAAAACAATTGAAAAATTGCGTTTATTCAGACAGAAAATCAAAAGTATACAAATTTGGAGAGCGATTCAAGGACCCGACAGAAGGAACATGGAGAAATGATGGGGAAAATGCATTCTAAAAAAAATGAATGGGTCATAGAAGGCAAGGGAAACTGGTTTCTTTGTTTTTTTCGTACTCATAAAATATTTTGTAACTGTAAATAATCTTCTATGATATATAGAAGATATTAGAAGGAATGACTAGAAAACAGGTGGAAAAATTGGCAACGATTTGGATTGCAGGGTAGTGAGATAATTGGGAAACACTGGGAGTTTAGGGATAATTAGGTTTCAGTACATAGGACAAAAATACATAGAGACTAGTTGGAGCTAGGGAGAGAAAAACAACCCGTGGTACACAAAACACTGAGATGGAGAGTTAAGTACATTATGCACCTGAGCAGGTACTAAACTTGGGATATCAAAGAAATGGGTTCAGATGAGCAACGATTGTTTCATCTGATCCATCGTTGCCATATCCAACGCTTTGATATCACGTGCAGTATCTGTCTGGAACAATCCGCGAAGGTCTGAAGCTGATGGACGGTTTCGAGGGTTAAGACATCTTTTGGTGGCGTCTTGCAAGACACATGTTGATGGTAATTTGTCGCTAAAAAAAACCAAGAAAAATATGTTTTCAATAGCGTTAGAAACTCACAATTCATCAAGGCCAGATAACGGAATCTGCTTCTGGGCTTGGTAGGGAACACCCAAACTGCACATCTCTGCTAGACATGTTCCAAACTGCCAAATATCTCCCTTCGCTTCATATTTTTTGCCTAGTGCTACTTCAGGAGGCTGCAGGATTTGATCCACTATCACATCATCAGCATTTCTTGCAGAATTTCCGAAGTCTCCTAGCTTAACCATCTGATCGCATAACATATCCAATGGGTCGGTGTAGTCTCGAAGGAGGTAGATGCTGATGGTGGTGACTCTGGTATGAACGATTCCAGAACGATGAAGATGCTCTAGAGCAGAAGCAATTTGCTCAGCAAACTGACTAAACCGAATGGAAACTCTTCCATAGTGATGGATGATCTCATTTCCTGTTTCTGGTGTCTTTCGATCTTTACTGGAGAAGCTATCATAGCCTGATGATGGGTTTGGAGATTCATTGTAGCTTCTCAACGGCAAATCATCATTGTTGCTTTGTCTTCCAGTGGTTTCTGGGGTTCCAATAACATGACGACGGAGAACAGACCCCACTGATATGATATAGTTGTGAAGGGATCCACCACGACAACATTCCATAAGCATTCCTACAACTTGGTATTGATTGTTCTCCCATCTAGAAAGCACAACTCCTTCGGAACCGACACAGTTTGGATGAGCTGGTAGAGTTTTAAGGAACTCCAGCTCTTTGCGCATTGCTTGCATAGTTTGCTCAGCTGGAATCAAATAATTAATTTCCTAGAAGCATAGAGTCAAAACTTACAGTAATCCTTCGCAATCTTTAATGAGAAACAGTGACCTCTCACAGAATCCATTGCGGTATTCATTATCCAGTATTGACTTCCAAATGGTTCATTTGGCTGCCGGATTCGGAAATCTTGCAAAGGATACGCTGTGAAACTGTCAAAGTATTCGTATGGAGCTATTGGAGGGAGAGCGCAAACAGATGGAGATTCACCGCTATGGTTGGACAAGGAAGACTCCTGAAATCGAATCTTGGTACTGTTGATGAAAAATATTAGTCTAGGAATTCTAGACATTGTTAATGGAGAAGTGGAATCACACTTTCAAATAAAATCTGTACCTCGAAAACCTCATCACTCATATCAGTTTCGCTGCGGAAGTCTAAAATCGTCGCATACGTATGATCATTTCTAGACAACTCCATTGTGCTCCTTGGAATTCTTGGCTCTCTACGCAGTTGGTTCTGCGGTTGGTAGTAAGGATAGAGTTCGTTCTGAAAAAGAAGTAGGAGATAGAAAAAAGTTAGGGATTCAGAATTGGTTATTACTTGACACATCGCTCGTCGTGTTCCACTATGCAGGTTGTATCCGTAGGTTCGTTGAGCTAGCTGAAATGGAAGGATAAGGGAGAATTGTTGAGAGAAGAATAGAAAAGATAGAGAGAAAAATTCAGAAGTAATGGCTGATTAATTTTTGGTACGGGCACTTACCGCTGCTTCAATGTTCCTATTGATATTCTCCACTGGCTCCAGACGGAAGTTTAGTGGTCGCACTCCAATGACAGTCTTAGAAGCATCGGTAGCATCCACGTAGGCATAAACCATTCGCTCTCCAGTTCCATAGCTCTCATCGTCCATTTTCTTTGTATCCTTTCTCTTTTTATGGACAAAGAATATCACTATAAGGATTAGAACGACGATGCTGGACACTAAAAGTGCACCAAGACCAACTGAAGTCGAGATGTCGTTGGAGAGAAGGAAAGACATATAAGATGGCTCATTGACACGGAGAATCTGAAAGAAAACATTAAAAAATTTAAATTATTTTAGTTACAATCAAGTTACCTTAATTTTCTTTACTTCACTGGTCCTCTGCTTCGTATCGAATGCAGAAACTTCCACTTCGTAATTGCATTCAGCATCGGGCACATAGAATACAACTTTGCGATGGGTGTAGGTAACATCTCGTCGGATCGGCTCGTATTTCCCGCATTTTTCGTTATTAGAAGTGATCAATGGATGAACAAAGAACATGAAATGGGACATTGGGATTGTTAGATTGGCCATTCCATCTGTAAATAAAGAATAGGAATTTTAATGATTATTCAGAGTCGATCCTCTGACTTTGGAATTAAACGATGTAAACATGAAAAGGAAAGTGTTCTAGATATTTTGCCTAGAGAACCAGATAATTTTGAAAATCGTTTTTTACCTGAAAAATAAGTCCACTCCATGACTAGACCATATCCATTGCTTGATGATAAATTCCAATGTGGAGTAAGTGACAACACTGGTGGAGGAGCTGAAAATATATAATTTCAAATCCCTTGCTATTCTGTTTTTTGTTCCAAATTCTTAACTTCAACTTTCTCCCTACAGCACAAAACAAAATAACGTTTCGCGATGTTCCTAAGATAAATGTGCAAAGACATTCGGCTCATTCATCCCAGATTTCGCCTACTGATACCATAAAAGCATGCGTTCAGAGCACATAACAAAACCCCTCTCTCACATCAAAAATGTAGCTTTTTCAATGTGTTTCACTTACCACACATGCTCATGTCGTTAACCATGTCACTGCACGCCGGAACTTGAAATTTAGTGGTTGCAAGTGCGCTTGATGGACGATTCGATTCGCTGGCATAGGGGACCAGACGCATTGTGTAGGTTTGGTTGAAGTCCAGCTTCTTGATGATGATTTCACGGGTGCGGTCCTACAAAAATATTTGAGTACTGTAACTTTAAATCTGTTGAAACATACCAAATGAAATGGCAAAAGCTTGAACTCTGCACTCAACGCATTCTTATACATTATTTGAAGAGAACAAGAGGGTATATGAACACTTCCTTCCTGATCAAACGAGAATCTGGCAGCTGCCTTGTCATCTTTCCAAGCAATCGACTTTAATTTCATATCTACTGAAGTGCTAGCCAGAATATGGTTGATATTGTACCATCTTGAAAGTACAAGTCCTCCAACTGATCCGTTATCGTCGAAGGTGGAGACTCGCAGACGAACTTCCAATCCAGATGATGTCTCGATCGGAGTGTTGAATGTGAAGTTACAGCTTGATGAGTAGCACTGAAACTTCCGAAATTTTTTCCCGGTCTTATCTTGGTCCCTTTCATAACTTTCTAGTAAAAGTTGTTACTTTCTCAACTCACAACCCTACGACCTTTTAATCCTTGAGTAGAATGTTTCTAAAATATTCATACTACAACTCCTAGTGTAATACTTTGTGATGACCCCTGGTGCCGCCGCTCTTACATCAAAAAAAGATGCCAAAAATGACACGACCCGTTTTTACTGGTTGGTGGTCCCCCCTACTCCATCATGATGAGTTAAGAAGAGATTATTCATAGGGGGGCACTTTCACACGCTCGTCGCAACATTCAGTTACCATTCAGAAAAAGTCCTTGACGTGAGAAAATCTGTGTGAGCCAGCCTGGGGAATCTTGAAAAATTGAAAAATTGTACGACTTCTCCCTCAAGTATGATTCCTCGTTTTTCCACTCCTTCAAAAAGTGATGCACCTTTTTGAAGATAAGCATAAGCAGTACAAAATCAGATCCACTTGAATTTATTTGGGGACATCCCCCCCCCCCCCCCCCTTCTTAGTTTTTCTCTTTCGAGAATTTTGCAGAGTGAAGAAACAGCTTGTCTCTGCTTCACTTGTCGTCTTCATAACTCGACGACTGACTACTAACTTATGCAAAGCTGGCTCAAGATGTGTCGTGGAAATCACTAATTTGACGAGCGGCGCCCACTTTGAAGTGTGTTGTGTTGTCAAAATAAGGAAAACTAGAGAAAAATCTTGGAAAGAAACCAAGAAAGGAACATCTTATCTAACCTTCGCTTAATAAATTGCTATTGTCTCTCACACCCGCGGAGGTAAAATGAGAAAGATTGACAAGTTGAAAAAAGTGACAAGTAACATGAAGTCTAAGGTCAAACTTACCCAGTCCTGGTAGACGATATAAGTATCCTCGTCGTCTGCATCTCTAGCCACAACCTCCACGAAATAGATATTGGCAATTTCAGAGACTCCATCATCCAGTGCCAATAGAATTGTTCCAGTGAGCACACGTTTTCCAGTAGAGCTTGAACTATTTTTTGTTATATATGGAACATTGTCAAGGCAAAGGATATGCACATCTTTGACCACACTTCCTCGGGTTGGCTTGTCTGAAATTTCAAGAAATTAAATATAAAAAACCCCTGGGTTTTATATATTATTTTTCACTTCTTAGATCCAACCCAAAAATAAAAACCTCCTCTTATCAAAAACGATAATTCACAGGCAAACGCTTGTCACTGTCATAAATTTTGTTTCATCTCCTCCCCGGTTTCTCGTCACGCAATATCCAACATCAATCATTATGTCTTCATTTTCGCAATTTTCTCGCCCAATCCCTTACTTTTTTGACAGTGTGGAACACCTTTTATAGCGAATTAGGCTGGCTTACTGATTGACCTTGTACTACGTCAGTTGGAGAAAAAAAAAGGAATTAGAGGGAATAAGAACATAGACAATTAACAACTTAAAGGTTAGTGTTTAGAAAGTGTTCGGAATTCGAAGCTTTTGGAACGCAGAAATCAGAAGAACTATAGAAGATTTCTGTGAATAAGGCTAATGCTTTTCAGATATACAGTACTGGCCAAAAAGAATGCGTCGACAGGACTGTAACTTTCTTCAAAATGGAGCTACAGAGTCAAACTTTTTTTAAAATGTAGCAAATAACCCTGCAAAAGATGTTCTGAAACATTTTTACTCAAAAAACGGAAAACAACTTTTTTGGCGACAAAATTCACTTTTTGGAGAATTTCGGATTTTTGGATCTTTTGTTGTCAAAAATCTGACGATTATGAATGTGTAAAATTAATTTTGATCTTGATTTAAAAAATTATTCATCATCGTTTTCTATTTTTTCCAAATTTTTGAAAAAAAAATTTTTAAAAACCCGAAATTTTCCAAAAAGTGAATTTTGTCGCCAAAAAAGTTGCTTTCCGTTTTCTGGGTTTCAGAATAGTTTTTTAAAGTTATTTGCTACATTTTACAAAAAAGTTGGACACTTTAGCTCTATTTTGAAGAAAGTTACAGTTAGAAAACCTGTTCAGTCGGCAGTGTCGACGCATTCTTTTTGGCCAGTACTGTACTAAACAAAAGCAGAGCTTCAATTTTGTAGTTGGCAATTTTTCTGTACAAAGTTATTCAAATAAAATACACCGTTCAAAACCATCCAAGCGCCAAAAATTATTTTGTCGTTTTCATCTATATGAAATTGTACAGATAAGTTGTCAATTGAAAATTGGAGCTCTTATTTCTTGAATCTTCGATAAAATCTACCATATTCCCAAGCTCCAAAGGCGGCTTATTTTTAACAAAAACAAGAATTTAAATGATTAGTTTCAGATCGATACAGTAGCTTGAAGTTGATTTCCCAAAAGACAGCATACAAAATTTAGCACTTTTTAATTTTACTGAATTTCATTTCATTTATGTCGAACTTTTTGTTCCAAGTACCGTCATCTTAACTATACAAAGCCTTCCATACTCCTTATCCCTTACCTTCACGGTCCGATGAAATCGCTTGATACGCTGATTGCCCGAATCGAAACGCAGGCAGGTTCAGTTCGGTGTATTCAGGGCTGTTGCATCCCAATTTGCACTGTAAAATGGAACATGTTTTCTCTCATTTAACCAAAATGCGATTCGTGTTCAGTTTAGTTAATTAGCTGGTGTTTCTTCTCAACGTTTTAGCAAATTAGAAAAAATATATACGAAGAGATAATCAGGAACCAGATTGAACATGATAAACAAAACAACCCCCATGAACATCATACTAACCAGTGAGAACTCGGTTTTGTTGAAGACGTCGATTTCGCGGTAAACTGTATCCGTGTTCGTGGTTCGCTCCTTAATCTCGCCAAACTGCAAAACAAGAAGAGTTTAAATTAATCCTCCTGGATATTTCCGCGCATATATTCAGTGACCCGGATTGATTTGATACATTGTAATATTAGCAATTGTATTAAGGGGAACACATGTTCGGTTTTTTGAGCTTCCCCCGAAGATGAGTGTTCTCATATAAATTATGCGGACATGTGGCACAAAGAAAATCCTTTTACCTGAGTGATACATCGCTTTTGACATGGTCCAAGAAACGGGAAGAGTGGTGACGTGGCAAGAGCAAGATTTGATATTAAATAGAGGAATACCAAAATTATGGTGAGTAGCGGCTTCATTTTGACATTTGATGTGAGCTGAAATGAATGAAAATGAGGAAAAAAAATTGTGAGACGGTTTATTTGAGGAGGAGCAAGAAAAGAGCAAAAAATTGGCCATCTGACCCGCAGATGTTTTCTTGGGACATCTTATATACAAGTTTGTTTCCCCTCAACTTTTTTTTCGTATAGAATTTTTGACCAAGACTGTTTGCGCGGGATGCACTGAGCCAGAAATTGTGAAATTGCAGTGACGACCCCCGCCAAACAAAATTTTTTGATGTAGTATCATTCTCAATTTCTAGGAGAAATAGGAGGAACTAAAAATACACATGTTCTGAATTCAATTTTTCAAGTGAACCTTCGGCTAAGAAATGTCAACTTGAGTTATTGACGTCTCTTGTGTCACTAGGATTAATCAATTCTAAGTTTTTCAGGAGCTGTGGCGAAAAAAGACTCAGGGAGGTACAAAAAACATTTTGTCCCTTCCTCTCTCTTAGAAGAAAAAAAACCAGAACAAATTGGGACGAGTAGAGTAAATCAACTTTTTCTCGCGTCGCATTTCCGACCTGATTGGAAAAAAAACGAGACTAGTACATGTGGGCACAAAAAAACCTAATATCCCAAGGCCCCAAATATCCAGAAAAGGGGACCTAAAAGTTGGAGGTGATGCTCGGATAATGAGTAGTGGCATATGGTACCTAAAGTGGATCAATTATGCTTACTGAGAGATCAAGCGAGCGCAACATCTTGTGTTATTGGTTGCCATTATGATGACTTACTAGTTACTGGAAAATATAAACGAAATGAAAGGAAAACAGACAAAGCGGAGAAGGATATGAAGAAGGATACAAAATTGTCGGAGATACTTATTAGACTAATTTCAACTTCGTCTTTTTTCTCTCCCCCCTTTTTTTGTTTCTCCAAAAAAAAACACATTTGTCTTTTAGAGAAAATGTTTCAAAATGGGCTATGGGGCCCGTTTAGTTTTGGGACAAGTAATGGATAGATTGAGTGAAGATAGGGGAGGATGTGGTGGGATGTTGGAAAATGGGAAACAGAAAAAGAAGAGACAGAACATCACCGAAAAAGGCGTAAAAGTTCTGGTGGCCGACTCACTTTTCCCAATTCCCGCCCCCCCCCCCCCCCCCCCTCTTCTTCTCCTTTCCAATTTAAACGGATACTCTCAATCTGACACATTTATAGTGAGAAAGAAACTTGAATAAAAGAGTCTTAAGGCTTCTTCTAGGCTCTTCATGGGAACGGATGAGCGGGGACCCTCCTTTGGATTAGTTGGTACGAGTTCTTCCGAAAATCCAAGTTTTTTTTGTAGTCGGATGGAGAGGAAAGGTGCAGAATCATTGAAAATTCAAAGAGTTAAGAATTCAGAATGTGAGAACTTGTTCACCTTATAAGACAAAAGCAGTGCCCACCGCATTTTTCGCGCAAGACCAGGTTTTGAGGAGCTCACAGAATTCGCAATGAATATCCAAGGATCACCAAAACTTCTTTGGTCGAAAAGCTTTTTTTAGGAATTTGAACTTTTTTCAGTTTTTGGAGAAAGGTTCAAGAAATCGAGAATACCTGAATAAGAATTAGAATATTCTAGACTTCACCGAATCGGGAATTATGAGTTTTGCATGTGAAATGAGATTTTGGTTTTTTAAAGCCCTGAATTCAAGTTCAGAAGCTAGATGAGGCAATTCGAGATTCTCAAAGGCTCACAAATATAAAATCCGTGCTGAAAAATTTTTCAAATCGGCGAAAAGCTTTCTGGCGAATTGAAAAATTGTTGAGAGTGAGAAAAATATATTGAGCAACTTCTGGTGGTGAGGATCATCGGGTGAATTACGAGCTGGGGATGGGAAAATTGCGAAAAGTGCCCTCCTACCTCGGGTGGAAGCCACTTATTTATATTTAACTCATGATGAGGCAAGCGTGAGATGAGATGTGGAAGGGTGGAGTAAAACGAAATGGATGATTATGAGCACACACACACACACACGTACACACTCAGTTTTCCCTCATAACCATCTGGTAGGGCCATTTTCAAAACGCAAGTGGGAACCCTACTCCACCTTTTGCCCTCCTCTCGTCGCATCCATTTCATATTATCAAAACTATTATTGCTTCTGCTAGGACCATCGAGATCTTCTTTCACAATTCAACAAAGATTCTGCTCCTCAGTCATTGTTTAGTCATGTATACATCTATACAGTATGATGGGGTAATTATTTTAGTGACGGATGGGACATCATGCTCAATTGCCACCCTTGGTTAATTACAGGTTCAATGTATCTGTCCTGAAGGAGGAGGTCAGATTGTCTTGGACCCTTACAATGGGAACATACTTAGAGGGAACGGAGAATTTAGATACCAATCTCTCCTTGATTTCTTTCTTTCTTACAAAAGCGCTGCGCGATCAAGCGAAAATCGAATATGGTGGGATGAAAGGCACATGAGTATCTGTATATGAGGAAACAGGAAAAGAAAATAGGAAAAGAAAAGGAGTAAAAGTAGAAACCAAGGCACATATCTATAAATCACCTCAGCTTCCTGACGACAACACGTTTCAATGTCACAGTGGACAGTATGCGGATATGCAAAAAAAGGGGGAGGCGAAAAACAAATGGTGAAGTTTCCTTTTTTTCCGACATGGTTAGTGAGAAGGGCCTGCCTAATGAGAGAGGTGACGGAAGCCGACTGGTTTTGAAAGGGAAGGATAGCAGAGCACTACTCCGTAATTATTGGCACCTCCTCTTATAGCCAGTACTTCTGGACGCGGCGGCATGGCGCGACCCATGTAATTGGCCGAAGGTTGGTGTTGTATGGAATGGGGATTTATAGAGCTTTGGAAATTATTCGGACAAATGGAAGGAGGAGGAGAAACGGAAGTATCAAGGGGAGACAGAGGAAATTGGAATTTTTTTTTAGTTTTGATTCAAAAAAATAGAAAAAATGATGGAAAACAAAAAAATACTATTTGGAAATATGATTGTCTGCGTTGCAAATTCTTGTCAGAATGGAGTAAAAGGGGCGGAGCCTCTTCTGAAGACGCGGGAAAGAAGAAGGAGGAGGGCTGCAATACCCTTCCCATGGCGAAAAAAATGAAAGGAGACAAAAAAGAGTGGGAACGAAACTTTAGAAAAAATTAAATCTTCAGAAGAATTTTGCTGGAAGAATTGAACACTGAAAAGATTCTCAACATTTTTTGCCCAAACTTTCGCTATATCTTCTCTTTCACTTTTCGAGTAGGTGGGAAAAGGTGGCTGGGGGCTGGGGTGTTTTAACTTTTTTATGGCATCTGACATATTCATAAAATGACTAAGCAGAAAGAAGTGTTCAGAGAAAACTGGGAAGAAATGTTTGGTTAGACTATTTCCCGTGCTTACAAGTTCTCTCCTGTTCTCACAACATCAGGTGTGACGCATTACAAGGACATTAGGGTTCTCTCGAGAAGAAGGAGATGTTCGAAAGATCCCCGCTCCAAGAAAAAAAAATATTTGAAAATGTTTATATCGCACCACCAAAGTGTTCAAATGTGTAAACTGAAGAAGAGGAGCTCATGAGAGCAAATGGTGTGGGCAGGCTCACCCGAGGTGTCACCAACAAATGATGGTTCTGTCAAAGGTGAATCATCGGAAAAGACGTTGGCTCTATTTGCATGCCATTTTTTGACACTTTGGATGTTTTGCCTTTTTCTTGAGTCAATGTGGACCTAAAACCTATATTAAACAGATAGCAATAGAGCCATTTGAATGTTTTCAAAAAGAATGAGCTGGGCGGAACATAGTTATTAAATTGTGATGGGGTGTAAAATGGGAAAAATGAAATATCAGCTTTTAACATACAGTAACCCGTTTTTAAACTAACACACAATTTCCGTGGGAAATAATCAAATTTTGATGACTGAAAGTATACATCATAAATACTGAAAGTATACATAGTAAATCTTACAAGAGTGAAAATTTATAGATTTACGGAATAAAAATTAAGCTTCAGTTTTTTAGTTAAACACTTTTTTGTACAATGTCATACAACTGAGATAAGCCAATTGAAACCAAGATGTGCCAAAACTTCCAAAAATTGAAATGGGAAAATTTAAAATATAAAACTAAGGTTCAAATTTATATAAGGCCTAATTTTTCTTTATTTTATTTGATAGGATACTATATTTTTTTGACATTTAACGTAGACTATTTTGGGAAAAAAATCGGTGAAATTATAGATTCTTCAGCCGTTACTGTGGCTCAAACTAAAAAAAAAGCAAAATGATTGTCTCTTTCCAATTTTGCAAATTTTTGAGGCTACCCCAAATTTCACATCCTAAAATTTCCTAGCTTTACTAAAAGTTCAAATGATGGCAAAATGCCAAGAGCAGAATAGTTTTTTTATAGCGAGGGGTGTCTTAAATGTTATACACACATCCACCACATGTGTAAAGAACACCTCTAGGGAGTAGACGAGAAATCACGCAAGAAAAAAAACGGTTCTCGAATTATGACATATATATCTCCTCACATCCACTCTTCTTCGGTTTCAATTGAATAAGAATCCGACCAGACTTGTCGGCACTCTTTTTGCCGCCCATTTTTTTTGTGAAAAGAAGAACAAAGCCTATAAAAGTGCCCGTGAACGGTTAGTAGTGCGCGAGGGCTATGAAGGATGAAAAACATACATAGGAGGCACACTTATAAAACGTGAAGACAAAAAAAAAGCAACTAGAAAAGAAGAAGAAGAAAAAAGGGATGCCCTATTAAAGAGAACGAAGATCCGATAACCATCGAAAAGCGATATGAATGGTGCCGAAAATCAAAAACGGAAATGCCGCCAGACAGGTAGGGCAAACTGTTTTCTATATTACTACATATATAGGGTTACAGGAAACACACATGAGGTTACTGTCAATTAGGCGTTTTCCCGCGCGATAGCAGCTTTTGTGGTCTATATATCCAAACAATGACGCCTTTTCTAGCTAATTGCCGACAAAAACAAGGACACACAAAGAAGGATGACAGTGT